CAACAGGATACCGCAGTGATCCAAGTCTAAATTATGTCCTAAAAATACTTTTCCTGTTACACTACCTTGTGACCACAGTAATTAAAATGCAGATAGTCAAAGTTAGCTGTTGAGTTAACCTTCCATGTGCACAGGGAGCAGAGCACGTTCAGCTCACTTCAGGAAGAGCTGTGTGTTTGGAAACTGCTCAAGTGAGTCACTACCCAGTGAGACATGTTAGGACTCCACCCACTGTAGACCAAGCATCAAGATTTCACACAAACCTTACAACTGAATTGCCACCAGGGTCTCTAGTTCTGTTGTGTGGTACCACACTAAAAATAGAAACTTCACCCTTCCTCGAAGCACAGAAGAACAGCAGGTTGTTCTGTCAGACACTTAAAAGAGCAGCATGTCCAGTGTCTTTCACCATCAACTCTTTAATCCTTAGGATTAAAACCGTGCATTTCAGATGTAGATGGTGTATGTCCACAGGTTCACAAAGTCACACACCAAAACACTACTTCCTCTTTGCAGCAGACTTGAGTATTCTGCCAAGAAACTTAAAATGACTCAACTAACAAGGCCAACTTAGTGACCTTCATCCCAGTATATGGAAATAATCACCAAATGAAATTGTACTTCTGGTGGCAAGGATTTTTATTATTTTTTAAGTATCAAATTGTAGATAGCAAAACAGAAAGTTTGTTATTCTCAGCAATATAGAACAATTACTCTTATTTCCTCTTTCCAAGGCTTGCACCCAAACACATGGTTTATCAAAGGTCAATCACTGGATGTATTGGGTCAGCTTGATACAATGTACATTCTAAATGAGGAATTCAGTTTAAACCACTTGGGTGTCCACAGAAAGCTTGACAAAAAGCTGTAAGTAGTTAAACTACAGAAGACAGGAATTAGCATAAGCAAGGATAAAGAACTTGTAAGAGAGAACAAAGGCTGTGTTGAAAAGGGAATTTGTAGAATTCTGTGAAGTTGGTGTGGGATCAATTCCAAGTTTTTTCTTAGCTGCACAAAAGTTAGGAATAAGCTAATGATACTGCTGACAAAACTGTGAGGTGTCACTGATACAGAGAATAATCCAAACCAGGAGAAATATGTGGATCTAGATTTTTTTTTTTTGACTAAAAAAGTGTCATGATGCCAGGTCATGCATTTACATTAATAATTTTCTTGGGAAATTGGAGTTCAGCTGCAAATGACAGCAGGGGCAAGAGTTTGGGGTGCTCAGTCACACTACGTGACAGGCACCAAGAGGCAAACAAGGAATTTTGTAACATTCATTGATTTATATGCCGATAGGGGTATGGTCTTTATCAATGGAAGTTCAAGAAAGACTGAAACTAAGTTTTAAGTGGGCAGCTAAGTGATCAAAGCATAGACAAAGCATCAGAAGAAAGGAGATAAAGCTTAATATGTTACATAAAATGAAGGCTACAGTATGATGGCTACCTATAACAGATTATGTATAAATACCAGGAAGAGCATGAACTAAGAACTTCAGCGAGGACAAAGGAGTTATATTTAGGTATATTTAAAATAGAATTTAAGATACGGTTAGTCAAGATGGGAAAGAACTGAATTTGTGATTCAGGAAACCCCTTTTAAGGTAAAGTTAGTGGACACAGGGAACCAGAGAAGATGGCAACAGTAAAGTGTCTGTTAAACGCACCAAATTAGCAGCACAAACTTCTTTTCCTACCCAGAGAAACACATGGTATTAACCCTTTTCTTCTGTCACATTAATTTAGAATGTCAAATTTCATTTGCTTTTTAGCTTAAGCAGCAAACTAACAGTACCACAATACAGCCTGCAAGGACTCACTTTAGATCTTACTCTAATCCTAGTCACCACCAGAACTCTCCTATGCAGCATCGATCCTGCTAGCAGTCATGGGAAACCTGACTCTGGCATACTGCCTATACACTAATATCTGTGGAAGAATGATCTAAATGTCATCTGAAAGCCTTACAGCACAACGGAGCACAGGGAAGCTAATTACCATCAGGTATCTGCAGTTTCCATTGTGGTACACCACTTTCCTTCTACTGCTGAGACTGTCATCAGTTAAGAAATACTGGAGCAGTACCAGCTCCCTCCTGCAATTTTAGGAAGGCATTTCTGTTAAAGATAGTTCATCCTGCAAGTATTGATTTTGATAGGTTTTACATGCATTTGCTCCAGGATGCACAGTCTTACTACGCTAGGAAGATGTCAGAACTAAGCATAATGTCTGCATGCTAATTAAACTGCAGGCTGACAGAGGTCACCATGCTCACTGATAAAAACCCAAGGTTTCGTTGCCTCTTTGTACTGCTGAGTGATGCTTTACTGAAACTCCATTCCTTTGTTAAGGCTGACTAAGGTTATGTGTCTGAGAAGTGTCCAGGGCAGCAAGGTGGACTGATTTTAGACATTCCTCGAACTTTTCTAAGTACACAGTATACTGAACAGGAATAAGGGAATCAACTGTAACAATAAACTCTGTTCTGAATATTATGTATATTGAAGAAAGTAACTTTTCAATGAGAACTTCATGCTGAGGTAAAAACCCAAGATCAACTCAACTAAGCCAGGATACAAAACAAGATCTTAGCATCATTTGAGCAATTAAATACTTGAGTGCTAAGAGCTGGTATCAGATATTTAAGCAAGGTATTTTAAAGCCTAATACTTACCAGAAAAACATGCACATTGCCAGAAATAAATATGTAATACAGTAATGTCCAGTAAAGTTGTACTCATTCAGAGAAGCCATGTAAGGAAAGAAAAAGGCTGAACATGTCACAGAGGATTGAAAAGTTTATTAGATTAGTGAGGGCACTAATATAACTAAATATAATATGTGGTGTAGATAGAAGCATACACAGAGAACTGTCTTGACTATTTAAAGCTAGACTTTGTCAAAGTAATTTGGAGCAATGGATCCTATACAAACAAACAAAAAGGAAAAAGTCCCCTAATTAATCTGAGAAATAGGTGGTTTACAAATCAATAGCAAGTTAAAGCTTAAAATCCTTGGTGATGTTTCTTGACTCCCAAGCTTTTCCTATCAGATTTTCTGTTGAACTTCAAGTTTTTAGATACATTTCCATAAAGTGGAACAGTTTGAATAAAATACCTTTAGGGAATTCCTGTCTACATGTTCAAACTGCAGAGAAAGAATGCCTCCTAGGCAATAATACAGCCTAGGCTTTACAATTAAGCAGAAGGACGCATTACATTTGTTTGCAATATTGTCCTTCCTAAGAGTGGACACTGAAATTTGAAATCAGGCATGCAAAATTCCAGAGTCAAAGTAAGGTTCACAATGTGCCATTCACCCAGTAAAAAGGGACAGAATGAATGGGAGTTTTTAAAAGGGCAACTATTTATTTTTTCCAATTCTGAGCATTTGTCACTGTGCTGTCTGACACAACCTAACCTATGGAGTGTGGCCTCTTCTGACACCTCTACTTTACAGTGACTTTTTCTGCCTCGGAATACATAACCTCAGTCCCTTATGACCTACCATCATTACTCTTCAGGTACTTGCAAGGGCTGGCAAATTCCACAATACCTTTTCTGTATCAATGATCACCAATTGATCTTCTCAAAACTTTGCATTTTGTGCACAGCAGCTTATTAAACAGCGTAACTATTCAACTTGTAGAGTGTTTACAATCTTTCTTCTTTCATTTTATGATTTCCTAACAGGGAATGGCAAGAGTTTACTGCAGAGAAAGAATATTATGCTCCCCAACCCCCCCGCAACTTTTTTTG